ATCTCGTAAAAAAAAAGAATTGCACACCAAGTAAAAAGTTTCCTTTTCAAACCTGACGGTCTATGGGGCAAGTGAAGTAGAGTTCACTTGTTTCTGTGACCTCGGCATATGAAGAGATAGTGTGGTCAGCACTATGGCTTAACTTAAGAATGGCTTAACTTTGACTGAATAGTGACGTCACATGATGTGTTTACTTTTTACATCAACAATGGCTGCTCCCATCGAAGATTGTGTTCACATTCCAAAGTTTAACGCGTTCTAAACCTATTTTTCTGTTTGCTGTATTTATTACGTTCCAACACTTATATAAATTTTCAACTGTCTTTTTCATTTAGTTTTACAATAAATTTCTCTAGCTCTACAATCTGTCCAAGAAAGTTATTTATAGATCTAAATATCAGGTGGATAAGAAAGTTATTTAAAGATCTAGAATCTAGATCTAGGTCGAACCAAATTATTTTAAAATCAGAATAATTTATTGAGTTTCTTTATTAAGCTTTTTTAGTCCGTAAATATTTGATATTAAACTTTGAATTTTAGCTTCACGGATCATCTAATTCAAGAATAATACAAGTGATTTATCTATCTATGTTCTAGATCTAGATTCTAGAGTTACGGAAAACAAGACTTAACCAAACCAATCGTAGAATCTAGATAAGTCTATCTAGATCTAGATAATAATGAGTTTGTATAATGAGTTTGTATACTAAACTTTTTCAGACCTTCATTATTTTATATAAATCTTTGTTTGTTTAGCTATGCAATTGGCTAATTTAAGATAAAATTTAATTTGAAAGTTACCAGACGTAGATCTAGATCTAGATAGGGCATATGCGCGTAAATCAAGTTGCATAAGGAGACTCATAGTATTAAATTATATTTAAGTTGTTAGTGCAATAGGCTTTCAATGTTAAAATTATTTATTTTTTTCAATTTTGTTTTACTTTCTCGTATATACGAAGTATAGAGAAAGTCTTGTAAACGTGCAAAAAAAATCGAGATTTTTACAAATCTCGACGTTTTAAACCTCACTGATACGGAAAAACATAATTTTGCAATCTTGTCCGTATGTCTCTGTGTGTGTGTGTCTGTCTGTCTGTGTGTAAACACGATAACTTGAGTACCGTTACAGCTAGGTTGATGAAATTTCATATATAAGTATTTTATCAAAATCGTAGATCCGTCTCAACTTTTGAGCGATTTCCGATAACCGGAAGTGGTACTTTTTCTACTTTGATTTTTTCAAAAGCCTATAACTTGAGTACTATTTCAAACAGATAAATGAAATTTCACATGTAAGTAAAAGATCTAATTATCTACCTTCTGTAATTTCCGTTGACCGGAAGTACTAATTTACGCTATTTCCGATTTCTCAAAAAAGTCATGTAAATTTATAAAGTACTAATAATGTTGCGCACTATTATGCACATCTTTATTTGGCGTTCACTTGGTGTGCAATTCTTTTTTCTACGAGATTTTATTCTATTTTAAAAAGTTTAAGTATTTAAAGTGGATTAAAAATCATGTCTATATACCGAGTTGCCATTCCCCGTAGTGTTATATTAGAATATTCGAGAAAGTTTAGGGGAGATCACTCCCGGTTTATTTTAGATGTGAATGATAAATTTGACTATCTGAACTTGGCGGGATACAGGTAGAGTTCATCTGTTTCTTTGTCCTAAGCATATGAAGGGATAGTGTGGTCAGAGACATGCTCGACCGGATTCGTTTTTTTTTTAAACGATAAAAACATGTTGTCTGAGACTTGGCGGGACACTGGGCAGGTGAAGTAGAGTTGAGTAGGTCACATGTGACGTCATATATGAAGGGATAGTGTGGTCAGACCCATGCTCAGCCGAAATCGGTGTTTTTAAAAGATAAAAAAACGTCTTTTTGAAAATAGGGTCTGGTTCTTTTGTGGTGATAAGTGACAGACGTGATGTCATTTATTGATGCCCCCAAAACCCACAGTTATCCAAGGGATGACCGGGTAGTCAAGTAATGCACTAAAAAGTAGAAAATAAATTATACACTACTATTTAAATAACTATAAAGAAAAGCGAGAGTCACTTTAGTATCTATTGGATACCTTTACTAATGATTAGGGTACAATATCAGATAGACGTTAAGTAACAACAATAAACAGGTGCTGGTGTGAATTCCACGGGGAAAGAGGAAGATGGGGAGACCCAAAAGGTCATGAAGGAAATAGTTTAAAATAGAGATGGGGAAGGATGGATTATTAAGGATCGATCTTTATTAAAACCAAGTGAGTTGACGATGTGTTGCCTACGAAGCCGAAACGAATAAAAGAAGAAAGTCAAAAGTTTAGAGCAGTGTTTCTGAATGTGCATATGAAACTTATGGGGTTCAATACCTCGAAAATAGTTTCGAGCCACTGCTTAAGATTGTCTTTTGTCGAAGGTGTAAGCTTATTTGGTCTACTTTAGAGCTCGTTCAACAATGTATATTGCAGTTTTAAATCAGTTCGGTTGACCAAAGTAACAACGCATTAGCAGTCTCCGTGGTTTACCATTTCTACCTTGTTTAATATGTCTAGTGGCCTTAACTGTATACAAATGCAGTATTAGGACTTGTTTATAAACTAGCAATAAAACTGATTTATTCGGTACAATAGACTAATTTACTTAGCTCTTAAAATTTCGGCAGAGATAATCACATTCCACCCACCTGCTCCGATCGTATACTGTTTTACTGATCAGATAGCGATACAAAAAACCGTGATATTTATTTCTCTTTAATACAGTGATTCCGCAAGATGTAATGCAATCAAGTAAACGATAATGCAATCCAGTAAGCGATTTCACTACTCAGCGCAAACAAGCGCACAACCCACCAACTTTTTCTTATTTTTCGGTTACACAATAAGCTTTAATACAAATGGTTTCTTTTCTAAGTGTTAAAAAATTTTCTTCTCAATAATACAGTATAACTCCTTGCAATTTTTATTGGCGAAAAAGCGCCCCCCACCACTTTGGACAAAATCTACAAAGCTGGAAGAACGGGTTTCAACGCCATTAACCCCTTTTTACAAGCTTTTATTTATCTCACTTCCTCTGTCGTCAGTCGTCAGTCTGTCGTCAGTCTAGATCGAAACGCAGGAGTGAAAATTCGGACACTTCTACTTGACCGATACGATTCACATTTGGCACATGGGTCAAGACATGAAGACAATGCAATCTGAAATTAAATTTGACTTAATTGGATGCCTAATTAATTTTTTATGAATTAATTAAAATTTGGACCGAATTAGTAGGCATGTCTATCCAACCACACCACACGCGTCATCACGTTCAATAGCTGCGCCATCAGGTTTAATAGCTGCACCATCACGTTCAATAGACCCGAATGGTTTTTAGTCATTTAACACTATTGTAAATAAAACATGTAAAGAACTGAAATTTTTTTTTCATAAAAAACGTTTTAATAACAAGCTTTTATGTAATGATGCACTAAAAAGTAGAAAATAAAATATAGACTACTATTTAAATTACTATTTTAAAAAAGCGTGGGTCTCTTCTCAAATATTAGTAAAGGTATTAAATAGGTACTAAAGTACTAAAGTGACCAAGGCTTTTCATTAGAGTAATTTAAATAGTAGTGTATAATTTCTTTTCTACTTTTTAGTGCATCATTACATAAAAGCTTGTTATTAAAACGTTTTTTTATGAAAACAATTTTTACAAGCTTTTATTTAACTCACTTCCTCGTCAGTCGACAGTCTGTCTGTCGTCAGTCTAGATCGAAACGCAAGAGTAAAAATTCGGTCACTTCTACTTGACCGATACGATTCACAGTTGGCACGTGGGTCAAGACATGAAGACAATGCAATCTGAGATTAAATTTGACTTAATTGGATGCCTAATTAATTTTTTATGAATTAATTAAAATTTGGACCGAATTAGTAGGCATGTCTATCCAACCACACCACACGCGTCATCACGTTCAATAGCTGCGCCATCAGGTTTAATAGCTGCGCCATCACGTTCAATAGACCCGCAATGGTTTTTAGTCATTTAACACTATTGTAAATAAAACATGTAAAGAACTGAAATTTTTTTTTTATAAAAAACGTTTTAATAACAAGCTTTTATGTAATGATGCACTAAAAAGTAGAAAATAAATTATACACTACTATTTAAATTACTATAAAGAAAAGCGTGGGTCTCTTCTCAAATATTAGTAAAGGTATCCAATATGTACTAAAGTACTAAAGTGACTCACGCTTTTCATTATAGTAATTTAAATAGTAGTGTATAATTTCTTTTCTACTTTTTAGTGCATCATTACATAAAAGCTTGTTTTTAAAACTTTTTTATGAAATTTTTTAATGAAATTTTTACAAGCTTTTATTTAACTCACTTCCTCTGTCTGTTTAATTTAAATAGTAGTGTATAATTTATTTTCTACTTTTTAGTGCATTACTAAATAAAAGCTTGTTGTTAAAACGTTATTTAATGATTTTTTTTTTAAATGTTCACAATCGCACAATACGCTTTAGTACAATTGGTTATCTACTCACCAAATCCTTCAGATTTTATTCAGCAAAAAAAGCGCCGCCCCACTCATCTAGGAGAAAATGGATGCGCCCCCCCCCCACGAACCATATTGAAATAAATTGGTGGAGCGGTTTTAACGTCACTTCTTTTTTACGGTTACACAATTGTTTTTTTTTTTTATTATTACTATTGGTAAAGTAGAAAACAGTTAAATCAGTATGTAAAGGCTTACAGTCGTTAAATTTCTTAACTTTGACTGTTTATAATTAAAAACTGCAGCTTAAAATGAGCTTTAAAAAAAATCTACCCCTGTTGGCGCCCCCTAAGGTCGGCGCCTAGGGCGCTCCTGCCTCCTCCAGATACGCCTCTATTTTTACACCTCCCTGAGTCAGGTGCGTAATGGGAGAATGTAGGAGGGTGGCATTGTTTGAAGTGTTGGGGGGCGGGGTCATTTTCCGTAAAAATATAGCTTAGAAAAATTTAAATATTACCGAAGCTGATTCTTTCTCCAATCAGCGGCGGAATGGCGTGGATCAGGATATTTATTATGGCGAATATAATTATTGGGACGATGAGGATCAATAAAATGTAGTACACACGTCGGTACAGTTTTAACACCATCTGCAATAGTTGGGGAAAAAGTGAGAATATTGTAAGTGTAAAATGATTGCTCTATAGTATAGCTAAATTTCCGACTAAAAGATCAAAAATGAAAAAAAAAATTAGTTCCTTAACATATTATTTCATTTTATGATAAAAAAGTAAATCCGATTTCATGTCACATGTAAGCCAATATTTTGTCTAATCGTGCACTAAAAGATTTTAGCTTTGTTATAGGCTACAATCAAGCATTTAACCAGAAGGCAATCTAAATTATTTATGTATACAACTGCTGTTTGAAAATTAAATAGTTTTATCAAGGCTATGATAAATTATTTGTAGTTTATGTTATGTTTGTTGCTTGCTTAGTATTCAGATTTTAATATAGAGTCGGGACAACGATATGCCGATAAAGTAATTAATAGTATCACTCGAACTTGACTGCAATTTATGTGTGGCTCTGTCTGTGGGTTAGATTTTCTGCTGCTTACAACAATGCTATAACTGCATGTGGGTATGCACGGATTATAGAAGTATAGATGTTTAGATGTACTTACATTGATGTCAGGAAAGGTTTTGCTATTTATCGTTACTTGCGATGCGGTGACATTTATTGTCAACTCTTCCCATGGGCTATCCTCCTTACATGGTTCCTTTTCAAATTTATTTAGACTATTGAACTCCAGCTCTTGTGTGGAACATTGGGTTTCCATAAGCTGCAATAAAAACTTGTTAAATTAACATTAATAACATACTAACACTAACTCACCAATACAATAATTAAAATGTTAGTGTTGCTAATTAATTGCGCTTGCACACGACCCATTCACTTACAGAATAAACATCGACCCACCGTCCTCTATAGCTAAAAGCGATCGCTTCTTTCCCAAGACAAGAGTTGTTTATCAACTGTAAAACTGTCTTCCCACCCGTTTGAAAGACATTACCCCAATTCTTCAGTTACCCTTGTAAATTACTTATTTTAATAATTATCACACCCCCCCCCCCCACCGCACACACAAACACACAATACAAGCCCATCCAATTCAGACCTGCACTATGCAAGTGACCTCATCAAATGGATAGTTGAATAACGCGTTTTTGCATTTTGTTGTTAGTTGAAATTTGGGTTTCCAGGTGATTAATCCACGATTGTTTACCTTCACAGGGCTATAGATGAATTAATAGACTGGTATTAACTGTAGTGTCAAACACAATATGCACAGATACCATCAAGCAAACAAATTTTAATACTGGTAACAATAAGTAAGCTAATATAAGCATGTACAAGTATTTGCACTTCAGTTTATTGAAATTGCTACTTATTTTAAAAATCAAAAGAATAGTTAATTTGAAATGTTGTATCAGCAGAAATAATCTGGCGAATCACAGGAAAAGATTATATAAACTAATGATATTGATGAGAAAATTAACTACCTCTTATCATCTTGGAAGAAATCGTCCATGTTTTGTGAACTTAACCGAGGATGCCAAATTTTTTCTTTCTGAAGTTCAAGCTCATCTATATCGTTGTTAATTGAAGGATCCCAGATAAAGGCCTGCTCATAAAATGAAAGTTTTCAAAAATCATTTATACAGAAACCACGCGTAAAATAAATCGTATTTATGATTTAATTTACTATTGGCTTTAGAGTTACCTTGTCCGTCCATTGGAATTTAATGAAACCGGTCAAAGTGTATTTCTCTAGTAAACCTTCTGTTGGCACAATGTTTTCAAACTCCAACTCTGTCGATACTGACAGTTTACTACCGGCCGGCCTGACTTTTCGGTACCTGTCATATTGGAAACTACCATTTTCCACCACGGGTCTCTGCTTGTGACATTGCACACCAATTCTCAACATTAAGAAAATTAAGAGCAGTCCAATGGGAAAATCCAGCCTGTGCAGTTTGAATTCCATTTCGACTAATCCTAAGAAATATAAACGATATTCAAATCAAATGTAATATCAGTGTAAGGGGTCGTTCATAAAAGACGTCACACTTGTAGGGGGTAGGGGGTCCGTAATTTTATGACGGTGTGTGATGAGGGGTGGGGGGTGTCAGATGGTGTGACGTCACACTTTTGCATTATGAAAAAAGCAATGTTAGAAAACGAATTTTAGCCGTTATTTCGCGTTTTAGAAAACTTTTTGAATAAATTGTAATAAAAATAGATTAAAATACTCTATGTTGACAGAGTTCAGACAAGATTGTAGAAAAGTATCGATGTCTTAAGAAAAATTCAACTGCAATTTAAAGGGATGTTGTAGGCTGAGGTGAGACGTCATTTTAGGAGAGGTGACAATGTGTGACGGAGGGGAGGGGGGGGGGGTAAAATCGTCCAAAAAGTGTGACATCATTAATGTATTACCTCTAATCAAATAATTTGCAATCACTCAACAACAGTGTAGATTCATATAAAATTCATGTGTCGATTGGCCGTTCACATAGTAAAGATATACTCGGAAATGGCATGGTCAGTTAGATGGGGTTAACAAGGACAGTTAGATTGTGTCAACATGGTCAGTTAGATTGTGTCAACATGGCCAGTTAGATTGTGTCAACATGGTCAGTTAGATTGTGTCAACATGGCCAGTTAGATTGTGTCAACATGGCCATTTAGATTGTGTCAACATGGTCAGTTAGATTGTGTCAACATGGTCAGTTAGATAGTGTCAACATGGTCAGTTAGATTGTGTCAACATGGTCAGTTAGATAGTGTCAACATGGCCAGTTAGATTGTGTCAACATGGCCATTTAGATTGTGTCAACATGGCCATTTAGTTGGGGTCAACATGCCCAGTTAGATTGTGTCAACATGGTCAGTTAGATAGTGTCAACATGGCCATTTAGTTGGGGTCAACATGGTCAGTTAGATAGTGTCAACAGTCTTTAATTGGTTATTATTTTTTCTATTCTAATAAAAGTTGTTTGATATATGGCTGAAATCAATTTATATATTTTACACGGATTTGTGTCATTATCATTAATTTTTTTCATTATGTAATAAGTTAAATGAAAACATTTTGTTTTGAATTGCTATTCAAAACTAGGTATTACAAAATAACACAACTTTTGAAATGTATTAATCCATTGTAAATAAATTAATTAAAAAAAAACTTAAGAGACAAAAATTAATAATGGACACCAAAAGCAATAAAAAGCGATCAACAGATGAATAGAACTGATTGACAAATTTTGATGTTTTTTGTCGCCATGAAAAGAGATCAAAACTTTTTGAAACAATTAATTCACGCCTTAAGTCAGTTTGATCTTTAAATTTTGTGTTTGTTATACTATGGATTATGTGAAATATAATAATTTAATTACAAATTTAGTATACCCATAAAAGGTAAAGAGCTTCAAGCGGGTTCAAACGTTGTAAAAAATATTTTTCGCTGTATTAGTCATTTCCCTAATTAAAATTTGAAAAAAGAAGTTCATTCAAAAGTACGTAGCTTAAAAAATGCATCTATATGGAACATATATACACACACAAACATATACATATTTTTTCTTTCAGGTGCGGGGGGGGGGTAGGAGTGCGTGCGGGAAGGCACCATTAGTTGTCGCACCGGGTGACACCCGAACTTAATACGCCACTGCTATATTCTGTATACGAAAAAGTAAAAAAAAAATCGAAGCTTGATATTGGTAATAGTTTCTCGTGTTTTATTTATTGTTACGTTATTTTGTATTATTAATTTCAAATAAATTACTTTTTATATCTATGGCATTCTTTAGTTCGACTTTTTAAAATTAATAATTAAAAAACGCTAAAGTTATTTAAATTCCTTAGTACAAATCTATGTAGTGGAGCTTTACGGGCATCACTTTTTGACTATTTAAAGAAGAGCAACAAGTCATGGAGATGGTTTGAACGTTTGCCTATCTTTCACACTACGGCTCATTTAGATTTTGTTATTTTTCTAGGCTACGGCGTGCGCTAGTTACTGCTGAACAATAACTATTGTGGTAGACCTGTTGGTTTTTTATTTTACAATATCCCTATCAAGGTGTATGAAAAAATTATTTGAAATAAATAAATGTATTGTAATTTGGCCATATTTTGAGTTCGGTCAATATCGAGTATTGTAATTAATTTCTATTAGGCTACAATTTACTAGAACAGTTTTCTAAAACGCGAAATAAAGGCTAACATTCGTTTTCTAACATTTCTTTTTTAATATGCGAAAGTGTGACGTCATACTATTTGAACCTCCCCCTCATCACACACGGTTTCACAAAATAACGCCCCCCCCCCCCCCCATTTCGCTCATTTATGGACGATTCTTGACCCTTAAACGTTAGTGCCACCTTAACCCAACTCAGTCGATGCGGCGTTTCTTGGCTCTGGAATATCTGATTATTTACACAGACTTTTTTTTTAACATAACAGTTTGTCGACGACTCAGCAATGGACGCCAGCGAGAAAAGTCTCAAAGGTATTCGAAAGGTCCATTAAACATTTTAAAAATCATGCACGGCTTATTTAAAATTAAATAAATTTTTCGGACTTTACTAAAGATGGGATGTATTTGATGTTTTTAATATTTTCGGTGATTACAAATTTTCAAAAAAAAAAAAACAATTTGGTTTTCACGTGTAATGGCGATATAAACAATGGCATTTCTGCTATTCGATAGCTTAGCATAAATTCTATTGTACAAATTGTAAACAAAAACATGCAGAACTAGATCATATGATTTAAATTAGCATTATTATTTACAACTTTATTCGATAAGTTTCTTTTGTAAACAAAAAAACTATGATATGGGGCTGTCAAAATTCGATCACGGAGTTCTTGTACAGCCAACAAATGTTTGTCTTACAAAAGTGAAACATAGGGTTATAACTTAGTCTTGATGAAAATAAATAGAGATGTAGCCTTAAACTAAAAAAAAGTATTTTTAAGTTCTCTGGATTTGCAACTTTTATAACATTGATTCTAAAAATATTAAATTTCTGAATTATTTCTAGGCTTAAGTTGTCTTTTTTATTATTTTTAAAATTTGATTGCAAAATCTAAAATCTTAATCCATGTCAACAACATGATGGAAGGATTCTCGTCAATTCGGTCGCATCCATTGGGAGGGGTGAGTTTGTCTAAAGGGGCATTCACTTGGTGCGCAATTCTTTTTTTTTTTCTACGAGATTCTATTATATTTTAAAAAGTTAAAATAATTAAAAATTGATTAAAATCATGTCTATATCCCGCGTTGCCATCCCCCGTAGCGTTATATAAGAATATTCGAGAAAGTTTAGGGGAGATCACTCTCGGTTTATTATTTTGGTGGCATTAAATTGATGAAGAAAACAATTAAATAAATCCGAATTACCAAATAGCAGTCTGAATTTTTTTTTTCTACTGTATAAAAATATATCGTTTATTATTATTATCTACCACGTTTGGCGCTCTCCTTTGGGTCGTCGGCCGTTTCAAATGGTTATCTAGCTTTAATGATTATTTACTGGTGGCTCCACCACATGATGTGGCGTTCTCAAACACGTGCATTTTTTATTTTTTAATAGGGTTTGTAAGTCTTGTTTTCTCCAACTGAATTAGAAATCTCGGTAGACAAGCAGAGATTTGGATTTTCAAACTCATTTAATTGTTGGCACCGCAAGATCTTAAACGGATTTTCAAAGAAGAATTCACCATACTATCTCGAACATGGGTTTACAGTCTATTGAAGAGATGTTCCAACTATTAGAACAACATAATATTATTTGTGGCTTCCTTAATGATATATCAGATATCAACAAAAAGACACCAGCAGATAAACTCAGTGGCGTAGCGAGGTCGGGTGTCACCCGGTGCGGCACTTAATGGTGTCACCCCCCCCCCCCCCAGAGGCATAGAGACCCTTCCCAGGGACAAACTTTCAAATTTTCGATTTGCACCCCCCTCAAACTTTCGATTTGCACCCCCCCCCTCGAGTTTTCGATTTGCACCCCCCCTCAAACTTTCGATTTGCACCCCCCCCCCCCTCGAGTTTTCGATTTGCACCCCCCCCCCCTCAAACTTTCGATTTGCACCCCCCCCTCGAGTTTTTCTCTACATATTTTGCTATTTTTTGCCTTGGTGTCACCCCTCTAAATGGTGTCACCCGGTGCGGTCCGCACCCCCCGCCCCCCCCCCCCTCGCTACGCCCCTGGATAAACTTACTGACTGCAAAAGTTTAGAAACGCTTAACGCTAATAAAGATGATCTTTGCAATGAGCTTCAAGTTGTAGCTCGTAGGCTTCCAAAGCCTATGTCAGCATCAGATGTGCTTCTGTATATTGTTCAACCAAAATTGGAAAATGGTGTACCAAATGTTGGTTAAAACCTTAGTTTAGCGTCTGAAATTATCCGGTAATGTTTGTTGAATTTCGTAAACATAAGTTACAGTAAACCTTATTTGACCATTGAAATATAAATAAAGCCTATTGTTGTAAATTAATGTTTTAATTTTTTAATCAACTTAGGGAAACAGGAATAAACATAATCGTAGATTTGAGTTAGGGATCTAAAAATATATTTTAAAAAAAAGTCAAATGTTGTAATTTATTTAATGTTTTTGACTTGCAGAGGTTTTGCAGCAATCAATTAATTGGATCTAACTAGCTGCTAGGCGTAGTAAAAATGATTACGAAAATAGTAAAAATGTCAAGAAGAATGTTTAGCAGCAGAAATATTTAGCAGAAACACTTAAAAATAATTAGCAATACATAATGATTGGTAAAGCAGTATTTAACATGCAATTAAAATCAATATAGCCAAATTTTAAACCTGTATTAAAAATAAAAATGGCGCCAAATAAAGTATGGTTTACAGTCCTTCCGGTGGATTCCAGAACTGTTTGACAGACTTTGCCATTGTTTTACTGCTTTTTACTGCTATAACCTTTCCGAAATAATAACCGACGCGAATAAA